ATATGGGTAGTCCTCTAAACTAGGGTCCCTTGTAGGGTCCTTTTTGCCAGGGTGCTGTACTATTTTGGGGATGTAAAACGGGGAATGTCCATGAACTGTGGGCTTTCTGGGAGCCCTGCTGAAGCCACTGTAAAGCCCGCAGGACACCTAGATTAGCGGGGCTTGGGAAAGTTTATAGGGTTTAAGGTTTAAGGTAATTATAAAACGCAGCCAAAGTCCCCAAACTCTAAACCCGGAGCCCTAAACCCTAAACTCTAAACCCGGAGCCCTAAACCCTAAACCCTAAACTCTAAACCCGGAGGGCCCATCTAAAGCTCGCAAGTTCAATCTGACAGTGTCCCGAGCCTGGGATAGAGGCATCGAAGCGGACGCGCGGCGCCATGGAAAAATGAACGTCTTTCTTGGGGGGCTTCCGGTTCTTAATTCTAAGTCTGACGGACTTTTCAGGCTTCCGGTGTAAGGCTCTAACCCTAAACCCTAAACCTTAATCAAATCCTAAACCCAGAACTCCTCAACCTTAAACTCTGAAATTATAGGGTTTGGGGTATAGGGTTTCAGGTTGAGGCTTGCGGGTTTGGGGTTTGGGAGAGGTTACCGGTTTGTTTAGGCTTCAGGGTTGGTTTTAGTGATGTTACCGCAACCACATGTTGCTTGTCGGCACAGATATAGAGGCAGCAAGAATATGCACAAGCCCTGTGAAGCACGCAGAGGGCGTGTCAGCCGTCAGGGTGAGAACGCCCAACACACACAGCATTGTGCCAGCACTACACCCGCATAGAAAGTGTAGAACATTGTCCAAAACAGAAGAGAAGCACACTTCTGGTTGGGACTGGCTGCATCATCACCGCATGCTGATGCGATCTGGAAGCTTACTGAAAGTTGCTACGCATCAGCATACCCCAAGAAGGAGGGAATGAAACTTCCACAGTGGCAGCTCACCATCAACTGTGGGGTCATTCAGGTAAAGCACCAGCTCGGCACACTTAGCTTCGTACACATGAACAGGCCCAAAAAGGCATGTGGTTCTCCCAATAGTATCCATTCTCACACGAAACCGCAGCAAACTCCTAGGTGATCAGAAGGCAACAAACCGTCCAGAAGCGCATCCTGCGATACCCTCCCTCGCCCGCTCTCGCTTTTTGTTTTTCTCTCTCTCTCTCGCTCTCTCTCTCTGCTTCTGTCTCTGTCTCTCTCTCTCTCTCACACGGACGGACAAGGCGCGTCTCGTTCTCGACCGCCAGGCTCTGCTTGGCCTTCGTCAGCTCGGCCTTCGCCTCGTGCCTGCGTCGCTTCGGTGGGGGCAGGATAGTATATGCTGTAAACATGTATATACACTGCGTAAGATATACTTTTTAGGATGTACTACACAGCATATACATGATGTCTACAGCATGAGTTATATTATATAATATATACTATGCAAAGTATATACATATGCATATATATATATATTGTAATGTAATGTATGTTATATATGACATATACTATATATACCGCACATGTAGTAAATCTTGTGTGTAATATGTGATACATGACATAAAATATGCAATAAATATTCAGAATAAAATTTGCACTAATAAAATAATGTAAAGTACAACACCCAAAATATGCAACAAACAACACATAATAGAACACAATATGTAAGATATAGCAATATTGTGTCATGTGACAAAACACAACACATTTGATACCTACTTGGTCTACTTATACTGCTATATTGTAACTTATCAGTTATATGCTACATACCACGTGTTATAAAATGCAACATCTGCCTTCACATACTGCATATTGTGTACTCTATGTCCGTGCGTGTATATACATATACATATGTTACATACCTGTGCATGTACCATGGTATATCGTATAAGGCATATGTTAGGTTAGGTCATGTTATATATTACATATTCCAATGTATGTCGATGTGTTAAAAAGTATATTCTCCTAAGCTTCATCCAATTCCTTGACCAGCTGAGGATAGAACCGAGCTGTTGCAGTCTCGGCACAACTCGTTCTCGAGTGTTTCCAGCTGCTGCCGTTGCTCTGCTCTTCTCGTTGCAGCCTGCGAAGTTGTGGCTGCTGCCTGCGGCATCTTATGTCGCGAGCAGAAACATTGACAAGTGCTCGCCAACATGCAGCGCACCTTTTCTTCGACGAGCTGCAGCTCCTCCTCCAAGCTCTCAGCCTCCCAAGCATGGAGTGGCAGACTGTGTCCGTGCTCGCGCTCCTCGCCTGCAGAGCGACCTTGTGCATGGAAATTCGTCCTGCGAGCATCTCCTCGTTCCAGGTCCCGCATTCGTGAGCGAAGCCATCCTCCAACACTGCCCGGGTACTGGATACTTCGTTACCTGACATGGCAGAACGCAATGCTTTCACCGAGGCTTCTCATTTTCTGCCGAGCTACACTGCGACCGCCAGCTTGAGACTTCGTCTTGCAGCGTCTGCATCTCCGCGGCAAGATCTACAATCCTTAGGAGGCGGTCTCCTATCCCAAATGACCGCGAACACTCTCAGCTCAGGCCGGGCGGCCGATCCGAGCGCACTTTGGCGTCAGCTTTTCGGTCCGATAGCTCTTTCTCCAACTCGCTTCTCCGATCTCGCGCCGCTGCCAAGTTGGCCTTTGCGACGGAAAAGGCGGTCCGCAAGCTGAAGTGGGGCGCATCGCAAGATGAAGGTGGGATGTATGCCGCTCCGTTCTCGTACCGTGTCCTTGCTCCGGCCGGTCTGTGCGGCACAAGGTCGGATCGTTTTTATGACTCGGAGGGGTGGTGTCGGGATCGACATTTTTCCAAAAAGCTAGGGTACTCAGACCAAGTGCCAAACATACGGTTGATGACATACACCCCGCATTACCCATGCTGCCAAAACAAACAAAGAGGATAATTCCCACAGTTCAGTGTCCCCAAGGTAATGCAGGATTTATATCATCAACAGTAGGTCTGTCCCAGCCCCGAAATTCGCGTCGCCGAGCCTTCGACTACCTTGCAAAATGCGAGCCTCGTGGAAGCGTTGCTGTCTGAGGAAGCGTTCCTCATGGATTGCTTGCCGCGTCAAGACCTGGCAACAGCCGCAAACCAGGGCTTCAAGCGACAGAAAGAGTGATGGGAAGCCAAGGGGACAGGCCTCCTCTTGCAACGCCTTCTGAGAGCCAGCTCTATACTCCGCCAGCTGCACCTGAGACAAGTAAGCCCGCCTAACGGAGCTCTGATGCTGACAAAGCCGGCCCAGACACTTTGAGATGCTCGTTTCCATTAGTGGCCAGACTCAGAGCGTCCTGCGTCTCACCTCAGATGCAATCTGGCCTCTGTGAATTGGTAGACAGCACGACCAGTGCTCCAGCCATGCAGCGTGTCTGCTTGCGAAGTTCAAACAAAGCCTCTTGCTGCCTCTCATGGCTCGACTCTCGGATTCGCTGGCAGCACATGGCAGCTTCAGAAAACAAAGAGACCCTGCTCGAAGGACCCAAATGGAAGGACCCTAGGACCTTCAAAAAGTTGGAACCTACACCAAAATTGGTCTGATGCTCCATGCGCCTGCTTAGGTCCGACCTCGCCATGCCCACAGCAGCTCGGAGTCGCTGGAGATCCTGCCTCCAGATTCCGATGCTCAAACTCGGAACTCCGAGGTCCGAGACCCTTCGGAAGCAGAGAGAAGCTCGAAGCTCCGAAGAAGGCTTTACTGCCACCATCTCTGGGTTGCCCTGAAGACACTCCAGAGCTTTAACAAAACATATCTTATGCATAACTATGTGTATATGTACACACGTTTGGTAACTCGTAAGTTTGCAGCATGCATGGCCTGGCACGCTCCTGAGCCGCCTCCGCATCTCGTCGCTGCACCTCCACCACCTCCCACTGCCGCTGCCGCCGCGTCTGCTCCTGGCAGGACCACAGGGCAACCCGGCGCATGTCAGAACGTTCGACTGTGGCCGGCTCACAGAAATCTGTCCTGAACGGCAACGGATCTCTCTGTCGTAACCGATCGGCTGACTGCTTGCAGTTGGCTCGAGAGGCGCTGCAGCTCTCGAGAGGAGCGTGCCTGCCACTCCAGCCACTCTTCGCCTCCTAAGAGCAGCAGAAGACGGGGCCCGGCCTGAACATCAGCCGTTCCAGCAGCCAGAAGCGCTTGCTGCTGCGCCGTCTGGAACGATTCCTCCAAAAGCTGCTGCTACAGGGTGCGTGCACCATAGGCGCCCCTGTTGCGGGAGGCACTTCCGGTAATGTTGACATGTCGAAAGCAATGGCAGGGGCGATACATTAGCAGGTAAGGGACTTTTAGGCTTTCAGGGCCCGAAATGCTGACAACTCGCAAGTAGTTTGGCGCGANNATAGGCGCCCCTGTTGCGGGAGGCACCGTTGACATGTTGAAAACAGAGGCAGGGGCGATACATTCCTGGGTCAGGGACTTTCAGGGCTAGAAAATGGCTGCTGACAACTCGCAAGTAATTAGTTTGGCGCGAAGATCTTTTTTCACTTCGCTGTCCCCCATGACGCAGAAGCGAGTGAATGGTTCGAAGCCTTGCGCGGCTGTGGCGAAAGACAAGTTGAAGTTTCGAATCTTCGCTGCACACAGTGGGCCCTTGTCAGAAACCGCGACGACGACAGTCATAATCCATATACTGAGACACAGAGGTAAATTGGTAGATATGCATATATAGACTGTATATATGTATGTATGTGTATAT